GGCCAGAATGGGCCAAATGTGCTGCGAGTCCTGAAAGCCTTAGGTTTATTTTGGAGTTTTTGCCAGAATCTGGGCCTGTGCTGAAAAGTTCTAGCTTTTGAAAGGTTGTCCAAGGATATCTTTTGGAGGTTTTTTTGTTGTTTTTTTACATTGCTTCACTCACAATAATCTATCAACAAATCTTTCCTTTTTTTTTTTGGTTCATGTCTTGTGACTTTATGTGAATCAGGATCCAGAAGATAATTATTTGGGTATTTGACCGTGTTGTAAGATGTAGTAGTTCGGAGGACCATGACCATCTGTGAGGAATGATGTTTTTGCTTTGTAGCTGACTGGTTGATTTATTATTATTACTATAATCATCGCATTGTTACTCTGCCTGTAGTTGAGTATTAATTGTAGACGCTATTGCAGCACAGAAATAGAGTTGTAGTTATTGCCACTGGTTGTTGGGGTTGTTGGAGATTATTGGATTTCGCTATCTCCCATCCATGTCTCTTAGTCGATTTAAATTGTTGTCCTTCAGGGCGTAGAACATTTACAGTAAAGAAATCATCTTGGTAGCTCGTCAGAGTGTGTTGCAGGTTTTTATCATCTGATGACCAAATATATCCATGGGGTATTTTTTTTTAAATCATAGGGGATCAGAAATTTTGGGCGATTGTGTTATTTTGTCGTCATTTTTCTTTCTTGTAAAAATTTTTTGTTTCGATGTAATGATATCTGTAGTGCAGAATGTGTATTTTTGTTGTGAAAACTGGCACTGCTCCAAACTGAAGAAGACAGGATGTGAACTCATTGAGATTAATAATGTCTTGCCATCATTTTTAAAAACATTTTTTAGTGTCGAGCTTTTTATGGTTCATTTTATAGAACCAATTTTTTAAAAATCTCAGTTTTCTGGTTTGTGTTTCTTTTGCATGCTTTTTTAATTTTAGCATTTTTTGCTGCAAAAGGTTTGGTTGAGGGATCAATATATTTTTTACTTATTACTTGTCTTATTTGTACATGCACGTCGGGGTCAGTCAATTGTTCCGTGCTTGTTCCCCTCACAGTGGAGACGTTGGGCCATCAGTTGCCGTTTGGTGCTCGCTCGGTCACAGCATGATGGTTGTGTGCTCACTTTGTGAACTAGATAGATTTATGTCGGCAAAAGATGTTGAGGTGAAAGAAAAGTTTGACCCCCCGTCCCCCTCCCTCGTCTTTTCACATCATGACGATCACAGCGTGCTGTGTCATGTTCCCGTGAGGCATAACTGCGACCCCCTCCACCACCCCCACTGTTACCCCTATGTGGCGATAAGAATGTTGGGCTCTTGGTCGACCAGTTTGAAATGGGAGTGGGGTTCCAACTTTGCTTTTACCAATGTTTCTTCATCTCGGTGCTCAGTTCAGCAGAAGCTTTGAGTTCTCTTCATCATTGTTGTTGTGGCTGGTGTTCCGCGAGAATGAGGGTGTGGTGGTTTCCCAGGTAACCAGTTGTTGTGGGACTTGTTGTTCATTCTGTATTTGCTGCCTTTTGGCTCTGTGCTTTATATACTTAACAACCAATTTTTCGTCTGAGATTTTTGTGACGTGTATATTCTCTCTATTTTGGTCATTTTGCCGACTTCTTGTTGTGAAGAGGTGTACGTATGTACAATGCTGGTGCCAACACAATTTGTTCTCATTGTCTAGCAATGCTAATCGCTCGCTTTGCCTGGAAATTTGGTTTACAGGGCGTAATTATTGGGCTGTTCGGGATCAGAGGTCGCTCTTTTCTAAGTATGGTTACTCTTTCCCTCAAAATTCATCAAGAATCGTCCAACTGTTTGTGATATTTTCATCATATAAACGTCCTCTAGAATTTTGCAACTTTTAAAATTAAAACCCCCCACAGTATTTGAAGTTTACTACTCATTTGTTTAAGCTTGTTTCAAAGCATGTTGAAAAAAATTATTATTTTTTCATTGCATTGCTACACTATCATTTTTATTGTATTTTCTAAATGTTCACTCCGCCTGCTGTGTCAAGTTACTCCACACATCTTCTGTACTTCGTGTGCAGCATGAGAGTTGGCTGAGGTGCCCTTTCTCTGATAGAATCTATTTTTAAAGTGGTTATCTTGTCTGATGCTCTGCTCCCGCTTGATGAAATCTATTTTCTGAGGTGGTTATCTTATCTGATACACTGCTCCTGTTTGATAGAATTTGTTTTCTGAGGTGGAAATGTGATCTGATGGACAGCCCCTGCTGTATAGAATCTATTGTGTGAGGTATGTGGACTGATGCGCTGCTCCTGTCACTGTCGATGTTCTTCACTGTACAGTAATCCTTGAGAGTTCACCAAAGAGATATGTACGGAGAAAGATGTACCAAATTTTGCCCTCTCCTGTGTTGAGCCCCTTTCCTTTTGTAATTTCTACTTAAGATCTGATTCTCTTGGGGCTGCAACATTTATCTTTTATTCCTGGAAAATTTCTTGTCTGGCCCAGATGGCCAAGAAATGGATTGACCCTCTGTTATCAGGATTGTTTTATCCTATGCATGTTTCTAAAGGCATCTCTTGTTTTGAAGCAATAGGATTCGAAAAGGCTGCAGATGTTATACAATCGCCACATCTTCCCACAACATGATCTGAAGTTCCATTACGACAGGATGGGATGGTTCATTTTGTGTTGTGGTCATCTAGAGTGGTAATGACATGAGCCAGTAGTTGTGTCATTTGTTTCGTGCCATTCTTTGCAGCCTCCATCCAACTGGCTATGAAGTGGAAAGCGCCATGGTTTGAATTTTCTTCAAAACGGAATGACTTGGCTTTGAAGCATTCTTGACTTTCAGTCAGGGTTTCTGCCAAAAAAGTTAGCCTCCAGAAAATGCTGTAGAAATCCATGTGTTACTTTTTTAATACCTGTGCATGATTTTGATTTATATAGTTTATTTTGTTTCTTTCTCACTCTTACAACCTTTCTGTATGTCACAGTATTTTTGAAATTCAGAGAATTTCTGCTGTTCATGTTGTGTAATCAGAGGTTGCTGTAACCACTGGAAAGACGCTGCTGTGGTACAAAATTGTAAACTGCTAAAAGTGTTTCTGGGGTGATTTTTTTTTGTCTGTTTGTGGTTTTTTGCCATGGTGCTTTTTTAAAAACGTGGGCCATGTGATTCAGTTATGGTGTCTTATATTTTACACTTTTGTGTTAAGATGTGTTTGTATCAACTATTAGCCGATCAAAAGGACTGCCAAATTTTTTTTAGAGTGCGTTGACTTTGTTCAAACCATAAATTTTTTGGGTGGCCAAGAATGTGAAATAGTTTTAATAACTGGGAGATGCATTACAATTATCGGTGTTTCTCGTGGTCTCAAGATTCTTTTTACTTTCACCGTGGAATCAAATCACTTTTACAAGATCAAACAAATGATGCTAGC